TTTTAATATCGGGATTAAAAACTTTTAATATCGGGATTAAAAACTTTTAATATCGGGATTAAAAACTTTTAATACTGGGATTTCCAAAGTACTTGGATACAATTAGATTCTGACATTTTAACTTTTTAACATGACTTTTACTGTACTTATAATGCGACATCGTTGATGTTAACACACGGACATGCATTTCTTTTTTATTAGGCTCACAGTGTTGATTGACTGAAAATCGGCCAGCCGTTTACAATCAAATTAAACCGAGGAATAAATTAAACACACCGGTGCATCAGGTCAAGACGGTATCTTCGAAAGACTGGCCTGTGTAATTGCTGTTTTAGCGTTGACCTTGTAAACCCTTGCACAAAAAACGTCCTTGCATCTTTCTGCAATGTGTCCACATGACCGTCAGTGGATTGCGGGTGGTTTGATCTTGTACCTGTTTCTGTACATTATCAGCAGTGGGGGATCCGGGGGGTGCACGGGGCACGCAATTTTTTTTGTAGGGTCTCAAAAATAGGCCCTTTGGACATGATTTGTACTCGGGGTGGAAAATTTTCTAAGAGGCTCCGTTAAGGAAAAAATCACTTTATGAGCTGGATGGAATTTCTGTGTATTTTTTATTCTATTAGGGTGTCCTGCATAAAGGATTTCGCCTGCGAAGCATATAACTCTTGCGAACATATCTAAATACTGGTCCGAAGAAGACATACCTTGAATTTTTTAGAAAAAATTGGCTAAAAATGGAAACTACAAGAAGTCAAAATGTTCAACTCAAACAAAGTTGTAGCTATTCTATATCAATATTTTGTGTTATGTAAGGTTTCTCAGATGTTTCAAGACCTTCATTAGTATACTTGTGTCTAGAAATGTGACATTTAAGGACAAAATTTGGCATTTTTAATCATTTTCGCTTTCAGCATTAACATATAGTTCCTTATATCTCGAGTTTAATGCTGACTGGTTGTTGCATTTTTGATTAAATCTGTGCTTGTACATATGTTCTTCCATTTAAGGTGTAGAAAATGTATAGTGGACAACCAATGTTCATATGAGAACTTTCAGATCTCCCCTACCCCATTTATTATGGAAAATTACCGAAAAATATGAAAAAATAAAATAACTTGAAATTATAAAGTTTAACAAAGTTGTAGCTATTCTATGTCAATATTATGTTTATTTAATGTTTTTAAGATATTTCAGAATCTATAGCGGTATACAAGTGGCTAGAAGTGAGACATTTAAGGACAAAACTTGGCATTTTTTTTTTATCATTTTCGCTTTCAGCAGTAATATATAGTTCCTCATATCTTGAGTTTTATGCTGTCTGATTGTTGCATTTTCAATCAAATCTGTTCTTGTGCATGTCTTCTTCCATTTAAGGTATAGAAAATGTATAGTAGACAAACAATGTTCATATTAGAGCTTTCAGATCTCCCCTACCCCATCAATTATGGAAAATAAACGAGAAATATAAAAAAAAAAAACTTGAAATCATAGACTTTCATAAAGTTGTAGCTATTCTATTATCAATATTATGTGTTATTTAATATTTTTAAGATTTTTCAGAACTTTTTTTGGTATTCAAGTGGCTAGAAATGAGACATTTAAGGACAAAACTTGGCATTTTTTAATCAATGCTGCTTTCAGCAGTAACATATAGATCCTCATATCTTGAGTTTTATGCTGACTGGTTGATACATTTTGGATTAAATCTGTTCTTGTACATGTTTTATTCCATTTAAGGTACTGAAAATGTATAGTAGATAAACAATGTTCATATTAGAGCTTTCAGTTCTCCCCTACCCCATTTATTAGGGAAGATGACTGGAAAATATAAAAAATAACTTCAAACTACCAGTATAAACTTTAACAAAGATGTGACTATTCTTTATGTGTTATTGATTGCTATAATTAATGTTTCAGGACCTTCATTAGTATTCTAGTGTAGAGAAATTAGACATTGAAGAACAAAATTTGGCATTTTTCATCATTTCCACTGTTAGCCATAACATATAGTTCCTTATATCTTGAGTTTTATGCTGATTGGTTGACGGATTCTTGATCAAATCTGTTCTTTTGCCTGCCTACTTTGATTTAAGGTATTTAAAAATGTATATTGGAAAGCCTGTCATTATATTAGAGCTTACATATCTCCCCTACCCCATTTATTTTGAAAAAATAACCAGAAATATAAAAACCAAACAATTTAAAAGTATAGACTTTAACAAAGTTGTCGCTATTCTAGATCAATACTATGTATTATTTGATATTTTTCAGATGTGTCAGGAACTTCATGAGTATACAAGTCTAAAAATTAGACATTTATAGTTGAGTTGCAAATGGGGCGGGTATTCTCTATCTTTGTCCATTGGGCTTTTCTGGTTATGATATGTTGCAAACTGCTCATGAATCTATGCAATGTATAGTACAATACTTGGAATATATTTAAAAATAATGGGGTATAGTACTGTGATAATTATAACCAGTGATCAAGCCATATTGGTTGAATTCCCTCATATCAAATGCAATGTTGTCAAATGCTTGGTGATTTCCATATTACACCTAAGGGTGGTGTAATTAGGAAGTTCATGATAGATATTGGGCTTGGGGATATTTTGGTAAATGTAAACATTGTGAAATGAAGAACAGCCAACAAGATGATTTTGGAAAGGATTACAAAATGGTAAAGCTGTCTTTGGTTTGTGAAGCAATGTTACTGTATCTCTAAAATGGGATGATTTTCACTTATGGCAGAGCTGCTATTGAACTTTGCAAAACTGATAGTTGCAACTTATCTATCAAATACTGATCATGCAGAAGTTGACACTCTCCTTATGGCCCATGTCTATTACAGTGCTGCAGACAAGTCAAAGGAGTTCAATGTTGAGAGAATTTGTATTCAGTCTGATGATACAGAATGTTGCTTGCAAAGAAGGATGAGAGTTAAAAAGAGCTCTTAAAGTTTCTTATGTCCTTCAAGGTAGCATTCTAAATTACTATATGAATCTCAAAGTGCAATACCTATTTGAAGATATATCAAAGATGGGTGTCTTGAACCAGTACTCACAAACAAACCTTCGTAGCAACACAAGAAACATATGTCCTTGGCAATTCGCAAATGTAAAATGGCAAAAGGCAGCGAAAATTGCTATACAAAGTTTCTAGTCAAGGGTGTATTGCTACTTGTCCATGTGGCAATAAACAACATAGTGCACATCGTTGGACAATATTTAAGGATGAGTTTCTCAGAACTATAAAAATTATTTAGAGATCTTACATATCTGAATAGCTTGTGGTGTCATGAGCAACTTAGACCTTTAAAATGCTTCCTAGTCAACTGGTACCCAAGACAAGTCGTACCCAAGATAACTGGTACCCAAGACAACTCGTACCCAAGATAACTGGTACCCAATACAACTCGTACCCAAGTTATTTCCAGTATTATGGGTGCATATTAGGAAAACAAATTGAGTTTGTATAATTATGTTTTCATGTTATAATGTGACTCAAATAAGCCTCAATATTTTTTTGAATTTAGAAGACATTTTTTCTCAATGGATTAAGTAAAGCATTTTGATTCAACTTGAATCACCTTTTTACTAATAAAACAAGTGCTTGAAGTGCTTGTTCACAACATTTTTTGCCAAACATATATATAAATAAATATAATTACAACAGTGACTTTTCTACAAATGAATCAAACAATTAATTTGAGCATTTTGAGAAAGTTTAAAGGAAGTTTAATCTGTTAATTTTTTTCCAATTGGAACTAAATTGGATTATGCACATGCATACTAAGTGTAACTAGACTTGGGAAATTGAACGAAGTTCAATTTCAGACTCCAGATCCAGACTTTTTTAAGCCCAGTCATCTAAAATAAGCCGAGTCATCCAGAATAAGCTGAGTCATCCAGAATAAGATAGATGGATAAAACAGGAAGGTAGGATAGGATGGAATGGGAAGGAACGATAGGATAGAATAAGAAAGAAGGATAGGATAGAACAGAATAGGAAGAAAGGATATGATAGGAGAGGATAGGAAGGAAAGGATACGAAGGAAGGATAGGATAGGATAGGATCAGATAGGAAGGACGGATGAATTTTTCAATATTTTCTTCTCTACTCTTAACTTTCTATCAGGATACCATCAGATCGATTTTCCGAAATTTCAAAACGCCATAACTTCCGAACCGGAAGTCAGATCTAAATTTGATTTAAAGATTCGGATTCCTGACAAAATTCTACCCCTAATTCATAACTCATACATTAAATTTGGCGAATTTTTATTTTGACCTACTTTTTGGACACGCCATAACTTCCGAACCGGTAGTCGGATCGAAATTTGGTTTGCAGATTCGGATTCCTGACAAAATTCTACCCCTAATTCATATCTCATACGTTAAATTTGGAGATTTTTTTATTTTGACCTACTTTTCGGACACCATATCTCAAAAGTGGGGCAAAATACTTTCTGACGGCAAAAGGCTAACGCTATTAGCACAC